GGTACTGAGCAAGGGGAAGGATGGCTTGGGTTTACTCCACTGCACAATGCTAGTTTCTTTTACAATGAAAACAGAGAGAGACCCCTGGACAGAGAGCTCTTCTCCTGGCAGGAGACCAAACTTTAAGGACGTTCTCCCAAAGGAGCCACACAGTTCATGCCAAACCAAAGCGATAACGTTTCATTACAAACTACAGGGCTAAGTGCCTCTAGATTAAGAGCAGGGGGAAAGGAGGCACAGTGATTATAAGAGAAATGTGTTAAGAAAAGAGAAATCGAATCGAGAGCACTAGAAAAGCAGCAGTCATGGGAAACCAGTCTGCAAAGTGCACAGTTCCATGCCATGCTCACCCACTCCCTACATCTCAATTAGAAAAAAAAAATCATCCAAGTATTTCTGACAGGCAAAGGGAAGCATCCCTACTTCTCAAATCCTCGTTTGGCTTTGCTCTGTGCACACGTACGATTAGGAAATTTTAAAAAAAAACCACTTGTTTTAATTGTCTATAGCATTGTCACTCTGCTGACCTGACCGGCCCACCTGGGCTGCTTTGCTCGGTACTTACATACGGGGCTGTAGCGTGTTCCCAGGGGTGAACGAAGACACTGGCAGCAGGAGAATGAATTCTAGCACCAACACGTGCAGTTCCATGGCTGCTGCTCCTTTCCCTTCCCTAGAAAGTTTTGCAGCCTTCCCAAGTGAGAGGCTGGCAGGCGTTTCTTCCTCAAAGAAAAACTCTCATGATGACCTCCTGAGGCTGCCAGTTTCTCCGGTGCTGACAAAGAACGAGGCTGTGGGAATTCACAGAGAGTCCTGCTGGGGTTCGCCGGGAGAGCAGATTTATGACTCTTGGACTTTTCCTTCCACAGGCAGGTTTCCCGGTGTCTGCAGTCCAAGGGAAGTGAGGACAATGCTGGTGCTCTGAGCTTTTACAAACTGCAAACCTGGCTCCTGAGCCTCTCTTGTTAGTAGTAACCTATGCTGGGGTGGCGTTTCCTTCTGGCATTTGCTTTCTCACACGCTCCAAGGTGCCAGCGGCTTACAGGGTCTGGGTTCAGCCCAGCAGGGAAGCCCCGGGTGGGTTTGATTGGTCTGGGGTCCTGATCCCCTTCACAAGGCAGTGCATAACCCAGACCTGAGCACAGGAGCGCTCACAGTCACATCCAGCTCCCAGAGGACAGACAAAACCCCCAGCCCCTTTCAGCAATGGGCAGAGATTTCCATTAACCCTCGCTCCATCCCCTAACTCATCCTCCTCACGTGCTTCCACCTTTCCCCTGGCAGAAGGCTCGCTCTCTTGCACACACTTGCTTGGAAAGGAGCAGCTCTCCTCTCCTCTGTGCTCCACGAGACCCACCAAACTTTCTTCTTGCCTTTCCCAAGTCTGTCTTTCATTCACATGCTCTCTTGTTTCTTTCTTGCTGACAGTCCCTAACCCCTCCCACCCGCCTCCTCCTCACGTGCTTCCACCTTTCCCCTGGCAGAAGGCTCGCTCTCTTGCACACACTTGCTTGGAAAGGAGCAGCTCTCCTCTCCTCTGTGCTCCACGAGACCCACCAAACTTTCTTCTTGCCTTTCCCAAGTCTGTCTTTCATTCACATGCTCTCTTGTTTCTTTCTTGCTGACAGTCCCTAACCCCTCCCACCCGCCCTGGGCAGCCCT